AGTCTTTCCCTAACCTTTGCCACCACCAGGTAGTGGTCAGTATCACAATCTGCTGCCCTGAACGATCGGACAATATCCTAGACAAAATACCCACCGAGCGACCGCCGCTTATCGGCGAAGTTACTACCAACTTTAGCTGATAGAGGGTGTCGCGTGGTCAGCGAAACGAATCTCCACGGCAATTATCTCGGTTTTCTAGACCGGAGCCGCTATTTCCTTGAAATATCACCTCAATTATCCTCACGAGGCCGAGCGGACCCCTTTCCAGACCCACTACATCTCGGAAAATCTGGTAGCGACGGGAATCGAACCCGGGACCTCTGACCATTAGACCACAGAGTCGGTCGGTATAGTTCGCTTGCAGACTAAAACAACGGAGTTTGTTTGTTTGCATCCTAGACAAACTAGTTGAACATGAAAAGCACTGGCCTCACCAGATGGCAGGAATTACTCTTAACGCAACCATATGAGATAAAAGATAACAGAAGAAAAGGTAGACCGTACAAACGACAGAAGAACTAATTGCGATTTGAACCTTGGTGTCGGAACAGTCTACTAATCCTTAGAGATGACAATAATTTTGGGTACATCCTTCGCGCTAAACATTTCGGATGGTAAATGTTCTTGGGTTAGGTAGTATTTCCAGCAACGTGCGTTGATAATCCGCTTGGGGGTGCGGGAGGGCGGAGCCCTGAGCTGGCATCGGCTGGGTGATCTTAGAGAAAGCTGTGAGCCTCTCTTGAGGGTAGCGCGGATAATGCAGCTAGACAAATTCGTCACCCGGGTAGCCCACTCATGTTTAATGACAATTCCAAGCACATCTGGGCTATTTCATTCAGAACTGAGGTCAAATGCAGAACACTATGTAATCTGACAGGTCACTTACAGCGGTAACGCGTCTTACTCGTACTCCGACGGTACTATGTTCGTGTCTCGGAATGACAATCTGCTATCCTCATGTTCACGTAGCTTTAGTCAGTCCCTCGAGACGGCTCTCTCAGGGCTTTAGTCAAGCTAGGAAATTCTAGGGCGGTGCCCCGATGCGTTTGTGACTTCCAAGGAACCGCCCTGCCATATCTTTTGTAGAAAGTGATATCAAACATAGGCGACGCAGACTAGGGTTAAGGCAAATGTGAAGTTCCTCCCCCTTCCTCAAATATAAGACACGCCCCTCAGAGAGAATAGGAATTTGTTTGCACTGTAATTAAAAGTTTTATACACAATCCAATGCAAGTACTGTGTAGTTGAATTGCAGGGCTCCTTATCTGAGGTGAAAGCATTACCCTCTCAAAGCACATACATTACCCAGCCTTTCTGTTTTTCACAAATAGTGTAAAGCTATCTGAAAGCGGCCTGGTGTTTCTTTGAAGGCAGAAATATGCGCCCCACAATAGGATCTCGGCCCTCATATATAATATAAAAGATTTAAATAATTTAAAGATCTTGCTTCTTTCGTGACAAACATTACTTAAGTAGGCCATACAAATGCCGCATACGGTACGTGAGTTTCCTTTTTTTCTTATTGCTATTGGGGTGGAACTAAGTCCCTTGTACTGATGCCATTTCTGGCCTATTGTACCAGCCCCAGAATATATAACCTCAATGTCTTGTACCGTTTCCTCGTCTGCAATTCTTGACTAACAAACAGAATTTGATACTTGAAGGGCTATGTAGGTAAGTTTGATATCTGTCTCCGTACCATATTTCAGGTGCCTAGTGGTTCATTAGCTACTGCTATCAAATTATAAGTTACAGAAAATTTTCACAGTGAGGCCATATTGTTACTTCTTCAAAATCATTATTGTAACAAAGTTCCAAGTGTTAAAAAGTCTATTATAATATATCATTTCAGTACCCAAGCGTGTAGCGTTAGTGTTACTCCACTTAATAAGTTCGCGCGTCCGCCATACCGTTATTATTGAATGCCGGAAAATAAAACTTATGGCCTCGGAATCGCATCTAATGTCATATGGTTCATACCAAGCTTCGTGAAAATTGATTAATATGTTCGAAATTCAAAATTTGAAAAACACAGACACACATAGATAACAGATATTGTACCTAAATTGTTTCCTTTGGCTAAGATTTTAATATCTCGTAAGATTTGAGGCTTTCACGGCGGTGACTATGAAAAAAGCAGTCTTCTGGGATTTGACACCGTGTATAAGTGGTGTTAACCGACGTTTCGGAGGAACGTATCGCCTCCATCTTCAGGGTAGAAGAAAATATAAGAATTCTGCAAGCGAAGAGACCGTGAGAACCGGTGTCTGCTTTTACCGGTTCTCACGGTCTCTTCGCTTGCAGAATTCTTATATTTTCTTCTACCCTGAAGATGGAGGCGATACGTTCCTCCGAAACGTCGGTTAACACCACTTATACACGGTGTCAAATCCCAGAAGACTGCTTTCTTCATTTTAATATTTCCCTTTCTTCTTCAGATGTTCATAGAAAAGCTCACTCCCTGAAAGATTCTTCTCTCGTTTCCCTATGTTTAGAGCCACGAAACAGAAGTGGAAACTTAACCCAATTAACATTACATATATTTACTAAAAGCGGCTTTTAAGCAGGACAAAACATGACCACAGAGGCTCATAAATGTAATAATGAACGACAACTGTGTTTTGCTAGTAACAGACTGACGTGGCTCAACATGCAATTCGATTCATAATTTCCGGCAGTCTATATTTGCAGAACGTAGTCGTGATCGGAAAGAGCCGTTCAGGAACTGAGATAACAGTAAATGTTCTCTTTCCTCTGTTAGAGACATTGACGGAAATATATTAGCATGAATATACTTGGATATACAAGTTTTAATATATGCAACTTATATTAAATTTCACAAAAATCTCTCAAGTAAACACCTACTTGTTTTGTTACGAGACGACTTTACCTGACAGACACACACACACATATATATATATTGAGGTTACCTGGAAGGGATAAGGGTAATAAGAAATAAGTATTGATTGTATATTGGTAATCATTTAACTAATTGTATGGGTATGTAAGCAGACTGTATGAAGTGTAACTAGACCACAGGATGTAGGATGTGGAGGGGAAAACACATTGCGAGTAAAGTTGGAAGGTAGACCACATCGACTTCCTGTGCAGGAGGGTTAACGACGGATGTTGCGGTGACAAGTAATAGTACTAAAGATGAAACTTGGAATAAATGGCATGAGGAGATGAGTTGTATATCCCATGACGTATGAATGATGTCAAGCAGTCACTTGTCAGTTTAGGAGACGAAAGATGATAAGGAAGATGGCCGTCCAATTGTAACTTCTGTTACAAAGTGCCTGGGGAAAACAGAGAGTATTTAAGGTTTATGAAAAGGAAGTGAGAGACTTCTTGACAGTCGAGACAAGTGCTTTGAGATAGATAAACGGTCCATCCTCCAGGGGGAACCGCTACACCTAGGCGGCAGGCAACAGGAGTAGGCCGACCACAGACCTCTACAAGTGTCACGCATCACCATGTTCACCACCAACAAAGTTGCTGTATTTTGTAAGTAGAGATCTGTTTGTCACAGCCTGGCCAATTAACCTCAGCAGAGAGGAGAAGTGATTGCAAGTAGGCAAGATTTAATTAAACCAATTATGTTAATTTGTTGAGTAATAAATGTTACTTTCTTCCTTTGGGTTTTAAAAGAGAAAGGTGTTTCATTATGACTTGGGAAGGGACATTACACTAGGGACATATCCTCGACCAGGTACCCTAGACAGCACCCATCCTGGCATCATAACAGTTTCGTGTGGACATACAGGTCAAAAACAAACTCCGTGGCCTGTAGTCCGCAAGCGAACTATACCGACCGAGCTACCGCCGCTTGGCGAAGTTAGTGCCAACTTTTATGGATAGAGGGTGTTACGTGGTCAGCACAACGGATCCCCACGGCCGTTAATCTCAGTTTTCTAGACTGGAGCAGCTATTTCCTTGAAATAGCTCCTCAATTATCCTCACGAGGCTGACATAGACTTACCAGCAGATATAAAAATCGAAAGCTTTCACGAAGCCAGCTAGTAATCAAATGTTCGCATAACAGTTTGAGTTCGTAGCCTTGGGATATTTGGAACTGCATCATACCCTACCCCAAATTAACAACTTTATAGAACTTCAAATGCTTTTTTACCATTCTCTTTGAAATGGACATGCAGAAGCAGTTTGTGCCAGTGTGCTCTGCATCGTCATTTCGTAGTCTGCCTCTACTCGCTTCCAAACACGTTGTTGACTTCCTGCATCAATGTATCAATGTGCTGTGAAAAGTCAACTAAACTTCAGAGGAGACTAGAAACCGGTAAAACGTCTTCGAATTCTGGCTCCTTTATTAACGAATATACTGATACTAATTTTCACTGTGGCGAGTTAGTCTCACAGTGGGAATATATTTAACTTAAATATGACACTTCAAGTAATATGAAAGAAATGACATTCGAGGGCCACTGAAGCGTGTCTGAATTGAACAACAGATGATAGACATTCTGCTTACCCATCAAGACGTTCCGGGCAAGAATGCAGGCTAGGAAATCCACTGTCTTCGCTGAGGTTTCGTAGTTTCAGTTCCTCCGGCATAAATGCCGGAAAGTGTCTTACTCCATTTAGTTCCAGCCTGTAAGCACCAAAAATACGGATGGATAATGTTACTCTCTGTCCGAATTAAATTAATTGAAAAACACCTTTGTATTTCCCATAAATTCGGCATATTTTTCTTCTGCATAATTTGAAGCTGCACGTGATACGACAAAATGGCGGACGCATATTTATATGAAAAATCGATATGGTCGACTCTAACATTATGATTTTCCCCATTCGATTTAATCGAGCTTAACATTACAAATTTCAAATTGCATCACAAAATCTTCCACTCAGATTTCTGCAATTAACCAGCTAGAATAAAGCTAATATTTCGTATTTTACATTAGGAAATTCTGCAGTTGATGTAATGTCGTTAAGACACGAAATGTTCTACTAACAGAAATTGGTTTGTCTGTGTGTTACAGCGGGGACCAATCTAGTGGGGAAATTCACGCAGAGTGTTCGTCGAATAGTCCAAGATGTCAAGGACGAAGGAACGTCTAGTAAGTATTGGTGTAAAGCACCGAAACGTCGACCTTAAATCTCAAGAATAAGTCCCCATGCTTTTAGCGCAAACACCATAAAAACAACAGTGGAAATTATTTATCTTCTTGAAATCTTACGCCAATTAATTTGCATCTCTTTTCAATTACATCCTAAGGAAATTTGAAACATAATCATCTGCAGTAAGTAAAAATTTTCATGGAATGTTATTCTTAAGATCTTACCCTAGGATCCATAAAGCATTTTCATTGCAGTTAGCTAGACCCTGTTGCTTGCTTAACCAGGCAACTCCAAATAACAGAGTTCTTCTCGAATAGTTATGACCAACGCAACCCGAAGGTCCATTACCATATTCACAAAATCCTGCCACTGGACACTATCAGGAGTCAGTTGAATCCAATCCAAGCCACCATACCTTATTCCTCTAAATTGTATTTTAATGTTAATTGTTCTTTTATTTATAATTTATGAATACCGCTAATTAGTGAAATGTGTATGTATGGCTACATACCACACGCTTCTTATTAACGTCAATATAAACGCTTCATAAGAAATATATGCTAATTCAAGCCTGTTTACTGATCATATGGCCTACATTAAAAAATTAGCTCTTGTTATACACAACGTTTCGGGCGGTGACGCCATTCTCTTCTTCAGGGGACTAGACTGATAGATTTTGTGACTTTTTATTTTCAATATTATTGACGAATTTTAGTACAGGAGCCTGAGCCTTCTGAATATTTGGCGATTATGTTAACCACTAAATTACAATGGCGGTCCGGTATTCGAAGGTCCTTACACGAGATAAGACATGCAAAAATCGGGGTAAATTAACCCCTTAAAGTCAGAGTCAGAGTCAGGGTCAGGGTCAGGGTCACTTTACGACTGACGTTTTACCGCCAATCAGTTCGTTTTGGTGCCGAACCCCTTGAGCAACACGATCAATATTTTTTTTGCAACTGAACCCTTTAGGTTACAGTCCTTATGTATCAACCTCTCTGAGGAGAGGACGGGTTTGTCTCTTATGAACATGCTTGGCCTTTGTGAAGTGTACATATCGCGCTTATAGCATAGATCTACGTAGTTATGGGGAATGCCTTTTCTTCCCAGGAAGCAGTCAGTCCGATAAAAGCGATAATTTGGAACAAAGAAACTCTCATATGTTAAAGACTGAATTCCTTCTACATAATATATAAAAATTGAGTTTGTACGTCACAGAAATATAATACATCTCCGCTACAAAGACCAACCAGTTAAGTCTCTTTCGGGAAAAAGCTGCTGTTTACTCTGAGAATCATACGAAACACACAATTGCACTCTGTGGGCTGAATGCAGAGTTTTGGTGCGTTAAAGCAGGTAGTACATATAGTAACCACTGTGTTTCAAAGGGTCAATAGCTTTATACAAATGTAGGTCATTAATAATCCCATGTTAGTCAAATGTTTTCCTACGTAAACTGATTCGCAGTGTGTCTATCGGTCATAAACAACTCCCAGAAAACACGCTTAAGCCGGTCTTCCCGATATGACTAGCGGGCTGACTTCATGACACAAACACTACACTTATTAACAGTTAATGATATCCAGATATTGAGAAAGTGGCGGAAAATGAATAACGCAGGATATCCAATGAAAGTTATTCTATCCAAAAATTAAAAATATACTTATTAAAAATATTCCTTATTCAGCCTATATTTCTACCTGAATTGAATTATAATTTAATTTATTCATTTACTGAAAATACATCATGGACATATATAGAATGAGATTTTTTTTTAATGCTAGTGGGGTGGGACTAAGTCCCTTGTACTGCGGCCACTTCTGGCCTATTGTACCAGCCCCAGATGATAGGTGAGGGTGATTGTGAAGCAATTGGTGGAATGAAGATTGGCAGGGGAAACCAAAGTACTCGGAGAAAACCTGCCCCAGCACCACTTTGTTCACCACAAATCCCATTTGACTAGACCCGGGATCGAAGACGGGCCGCCGCGGTGGGAAGCCAGCGACTAACCGCTTGAGCTATCGAGCGGCCTAGAATGAGATGTTACTTTTCTTTTTATGGCTTAGCTTGAGGCTAGGACAAGCTTCAGATTTCTCAAACGGGCTCACATGTAAGGAAAACAAAAATTTATGCCTGAAGGTTTGTGATGGTGTGCTTTTAAGCGTATATGAGCCATATTGACTCTGCTTCGGCCATTAGGTAAAATTGTGACACGTACTGTGTTCGGTTCATTAGATGGAGCTAACCTCTACTTCCGTACCTGATAACGGAAACACAACCAGTTTCCGAAACGTCGTGTTTTCCTCAACTAACCCCAATTACATGGAAAATATCCAACATATGTGTTATTTTAAAAAGAAAGTTGTTAACAAATTACTTTACTCCTAAGACAGCAAACTTCTTACCATGCTGGAAACATGTTGCAGGCGGACAATCGAAAGAGGAGGTAATCGAAACAAACGAACGGCTGAGAGCAGTGCGCGTGCGCCTGGAGGAGAGCTACGAGACAGCAAAACGGTCGCTCATCACGCTAATGACCAAATACACAGACAGCAAGTCTGTGCGCAACGTGTTCCAGAGATATAACCTACTCAAAGCCATGATCAAGGTATCAATTTCAGTTCAATGCATGAAATTACTACGCAGGAAATGAATGGGTAAAGACACAAATATAGGAATTAATCTAACGAGCCTCTATTTGGATTGAACTATCAGGAAGATCGTAGAGAAATTTAACTGTTCAGTCTACTTCCCAAAATCCCAAAGAGTACGATACCTTCTTCTTCTTCTTCTTTACTGACGCTACAACCCTGTGTGAACCTTGGCCTTCCCCATGGTCCTCCTCTGTACGTTCCTCTTGAGCGCCTTTGTAAAGAGTATGATATAAAACACAAAGTTTTACCAGCTGATCTTTGTGAGTGTGAAACGTGGTATTATGCTTTAAGGGATGAACATAAACTACAAGTGACACAATTAAACAAGCAACTAAAAATATTTGGAAATTAGAGGGATGACGGTAGCAATATTAAAAAATAAGGAACTTTAAGTTCTGTATAGGCCACTTAGTATTTTTAGAGTCGCGGGATCCAAGAGACTGCTAAGGGCTGTATATGTTGCTAGAATGGAGACAAAGGGCAAGTGCATACATAAAAGAAACAGCTTAGGAAAGGTCTATTTGGAAGATAAATGGAAACATTATGGACGATAATATTAAGACGAATCTTAGGGAAATATATTGTGAGAGTCATATCCATTGTTGAATACTGGTATCAGCGGCACTAACCATTTTTTAATTACTACAGTTCAGTTAGTGAATTAGACAGAAACTCTTGCACTGTACTTCTAAAATGTAAAGATTGCTAAAAAGCCTTACTAGAAAAAAAAAATATGACGACAGCATAGGTCTTAAATTCTCATGTATACATAAAATAAAGCTAAAATGAGTTCTTGCTTTCTCCTCAGGGACCGGTCTGCAGAACCATCACTTTCTGTACACCCTCCGATACTGCAGTACAAAGACGTCATGCTGGCTCTTGTAAACAGTAACCTTGGCTCCAGATTAAGATATTTGTAACATAGTCTAATATGAATTTCAGGAATGTAACGAACATTCGCACTGTCATGGACTTGATTCGCTAGGTTACGCAATTAAAATATATGTCTCAGCAATGGAAAGGACGTCTCCAATAAAAACGCGTACAAAGTTCACAACACAAGCTATGACACACAAGAAACACTTCTGAGTCTGCTGGAGGTTACACTTTGTTCACGATAACCCTTTGCCGTTGTGTAATAAAAACAGTAATGTACTTTCAAACTTTCGCTAAGATATAATAATAATAATTCAATTCTTTATTATTTATGTGTTGAGACAACAGCCGAAAGGCCAATTACAGATACAACACAGTGTAGATAAAAGTAGTTACACACTGGACAAACAAAACACAAAGTCAAAGACTAATTAAGAGGTAAACACTGGGGGAAAAACACATTAATGCATATATGGGAAAAACAAAGAAATAATTATTTTATTATCNCAGCACAGAAGCCAATAACAGAGTTGGTACGAGTACACAGAAATACAGATATAACTAAAAGACGAAACACAAATAATACAGTCTATATGTATAATGGCATTAAATCAATAATAATTCCAAGAAAAATTAAAGTTAGCATTAACAGGTGAGAAAATAAAATAAGTATATTTCGAAGGTTATTCCATTATGTGGTCAGAAATGACAATACACATACACACACAGAAGTTAATAGTAATAATAACCCAATTACTTCTTATTTATGTGTGTGGCAGCTCAACATCCTAATTCAATTCATGTTTACTTAAGTACAACTTAACAGCACAGAGGCCAATTAAAAGGTTAGCATGAGTACATAGAATTACATAAAAATAATTAAAAAACAAATACAAAATTTGAGAGTCTACATAATGACAACAGATTAATAATAATTCCAAGAAAAATTAAAGTTAACGTTAACAGGAGAGAACAACAAAATAAGACCACATACACACAATTAATATTAATAGTATCATTAACAAATATTATTAACAATTTTAGGTTCAGTGTCATTGACAGAAACTGTTCCGATTGCAAATATGTCGAGATCTTTACCCACCGCGTTGGCAGCATAGGCGCACCGAGCAGAAGGACAGTGTTCGTTAGAGGGACAAACACCAAACAATATAATAATAATAATTTATATTTTAAGTAAAATATAAAAAGTCCAGTTCACATTTGTGTTAATACTTTACTGTTCCTCAAAACTAAAAATAAATCATAACAACCCATTTAATTGGAAATAATCCTAACAAATCCTAAGTGTATTTAAGAAGCAATTAAGGAGAGCTATAAGCCTATTTTAGCAGTTATTGCTACCATTCATTTTGGAATGTTCAGTCTTTCCGTCGCCTATAAAAAATGTAAAGATTAAGGTGCACCAATTTACATGCATAATGTTTTTTGTATGAGTGATAAACTTGGTGTCTCCCCGTAAATAAAATATGTGGGGAGAGGGGTAGATGGGAGGATAATATTCAATTAGTTTAAAATAAATAGGGTGTGAGAATATGAATTTGATTCGTCTGGATTATTATGAGGACCAGTTGCGGACTCTTATGAACATGGTAATAAAATTTAGGATCCCATAAGAGGCGGATAATTTCACTAGTTCAGCGCTAGCATCTTATCAGTATGGATTATTTTAAAATAATGATGCTAAATTTAATCCAAGATTAAATGTATGATTATTACTAATTATATCTACGACAATTCCATCGAATAAAAACAATTCTAACATTAAGGAATCCCAAATTCCAAAGTCGCCGTGCTTATTCGGCAACTTCTTCAACACACCCGTTTGGCGTGCAGTATGAACACTAGATAGCAGGCGACCGCAATAACATCCAAAAAGTAACTTGTTTTCTGGCAAAGAATTTCATCGTTTACATGAAATCTGAGAATTAAAATTGTTACCAAATAACATTTCAACTCATCCTTTCCTTTCGCCATTCAATCACGTTTCCATCTTCACAACATACTTGTCCTTCCGTCAGATCAGCTATACTCGCATCATCATCTTCATCTCAGGTCTCGGTCCACCAAGTGGACTCTATTCGCGACGTTTCACCCATCTCAAATGTTATACATATATTTCTTGCCTTTCTCACCCGTGCTACATGTCCAGGTTATCTCTACCTTCACGATTAAACTTAACTAACAATACTGAGAGAAATTATAAAGCTCTCGGGATTGTGTTTTGGACTCCGTGTTATGCACCAGCGTCAGAGCCCTCTACGATGTACTCATAAAGATCCTGGAATATAATCTCCATTCCACAAACGTCTCATCTCCCGTAGGTTCAATGACTTCGGAGAAAAGCAGTAAACTGTGTACGGTTCTGGAATTTGATTTAGGGGTATAAGTATTTTATAATGTCATGAAATATATTTGTGAATTACACAAGAATTACATCCGGCCAACATACAAAGTCAAATAGAGTCTATATTCACGTTTAAACCTTTAAGGCACAAGAGTTAATAGTTGTTTACAATCTGTAGTGCTCGANATAATGGAAACACCAAGAAACTGAGGAATAGACTTTGTGTAGGCTACATTGAAAGAACTTCAGTTGACAATATTAAATGTTCTTCCGTTTGTTTACAATCTGTAGTGCTCGTGTAAGTGCATTAGTGATTGTGTTGAGTAACAGTCGGTGTGAAAGAATCGGAAAATGGGGAGCTCTCCGATTTTGAAAGAGGACAAATCGTTTGTGCGCGTTTATCTTCAGCATCCGTGAGAAAAACTGCCACATTGTTACGTGTATCGAGAACGACAGTTTCTAAGCTTATGTCGGCATACAGGAATCAGGGGAAGGCAACATCAGCGAAAAGAAGTGGTGGGCGAAAACTAACATTGACAGAAAGAGATCGCCGTACACTGAGAAGGTTGTTTCGAAGTCAAACAACTACAGCAGCACAAGTGACAGGAAAAGCAGAATTGAATATTCATCTTGAGGACACATAAAAACTGTCCGATGTTAGCTTCACAAATCCAATATCTACGGTGGGGCTGCGACTGCTAACCCCTGATTACTGAAAGTAATGCTCAGATGTGTAAACGATGGTGTAAAGATCATAAAATCTGGACACAGGACAACTGGAAACGCTCATGTGATATGGTCAGAAAAGTTGCTGTTCCCTACATTTGGAGAACACCCAAGGAAGCCCACAATCTGGAATGCCTGGTTCCAACAGTGAAACACGGGTGAGGTTCTGTGATGGTTTGAGCAGCAATGTCGTGGTGCAGTGTTCTGTTGCTCCCATTATTACCCTTAATGGCTGAATTACTCTAAGGGAGTACATGAACAGGTTCGGTAATCAGGTGCATCCCGTGATCCAGACGTTATTTCCGAACAGCGATGCAGTTTTCCAAGATGACAATGCCCCCATTCACACAGCTGGAACTGTTCAGTCATGGTTTGAAGAGCATGAAAGTGAACTTCAACATCTTCCCTGTCCAGCACAATCACCAGCTTTGAACATCATTGAACCACTGTTGTCAGTTTTGGAGACTAAAGTGAAGAACAGATTCCCACCTCCAACATCTCTAAAGCAACTTGAAGATGTTCTTCAAGAAGAGGGGTATAAAATTCCGCTAGAGACTGTTCGAAACTTATGCGTGTCCATTCCAAGAAGGACTGCGGCTGTACTGAAGGCAAAAGTTGGTTCAACACCATATTTATAAAGAAATGTGTACAGTATCTCTAGTGTTTCCATTATTCTGTCCAAACCTTGTATGTACCCACAGTTTTAACACTCAGAAACTCTGTATTTTGTCCACAGGGCATTTAAAGTTTTGGTAAGATTTTTATGATAAAGAACGCACATGAGGAGAATTATAAATCTGTATAGATTCTTTTGGGGAAAAATCAAAAGAAGATACCACTTGGAATACCTAGGCGTGTTGGGAGGATAGCATTCAAATTAGTTTTCAATAAATAAGGTGTGGGGGGGAGGTCGGCTGGACTGAACTGATACAGGGCAAGATATAGCAAAGTGTTCTTTGGACAGGGTAATGGATCTTCAAACTGCAACTCAACTATTACAAGCCTCTCAAAAGAGACTTTTCTTCATGGAATCTGTTAGAAAGTATAATACTTCTAAAACTGTATTGAGAGAGATTTTCTGTTTATCGGCCGGCATACTGACGGGCTACAGGCTGGATGGTCGAAGTTCGATTCCTAGTAGGGGCAAAAAATTTTTCCCTAGTTCACAACGTCCACACTCCTTCATGGACTCACCTATTCTCCTATCCAGGGGATACCGGGGCTCTTTCCCCGGGGTTAAGCAGCCAGAGTGAAGTTGACCACCCACATTCATCTGGTTGCGACTCAGCGGCCTCCGTAGGGGTAATGTTCCCACCTCGTGACTCAAGGTACGCGGGTTCAAACCCGGCGGAGGTCGTGGAATTTTTAAGGGCGGAAAAATTCAGGGAACAAATCCTCCGGGAGGGACTTTAAGCCGTGGGTCCCGTGTCGTAGCTTTACGGCACGTAAAAGAACCTCATGTCCTAAGGGGACCACTGAGCCAAATTCAGGACATTTCCCGCCCAACAGTAGTCTCTAACGCCTCTGGTAGATAGGGGAAGCATCGAGATACCGCTGAGCCAGTAGAGGCCGAACTCGCTGGCTGAGTCGGGACTGATGGCACGCACCAGTACCGGTAGGGAATAGAGACTGGTAGAATATCATAGGGGGAGGCACAATGGACCAACAGTTGGTCTAAGTGCATGGGGAAACCCATCCTCTCCAATACAATACAATACCTCCACTCCCCCGTATAACTTAATGGCGTTGTGCTTTAGTAATTAAGTATAGGCACGAATATACATTAATACTAACTTCTGTGTGTGCAGGAGGTGATCCGCCTGGAGACCCAGTACTGGACTCTAGTGGACATTCCCAAGCAAGAAAAGCAGGAAACGGTGCCAGCCTTCGTTCTGCGCGCATGTGCCATCATGGAGAAGACTCAGAAATCTGGGGAGGGCGTCAAGACTTCGGCGAAACTTGCCGAAGAGGCAGAGAATCGACGCGAGAGGATAGACCGCCTTGAGAGTGAGTAACTGAAAGGAAACGAAGCGCTGATACAATGGAAATATACAGCAGCAGGATAGCTCGATTTGCGTCTAGAGATTAACAAGACGTTCCACTAACAGCACCTTGAAATACCTCCAACAAATATACAATTCGATACAAGAAGTGTTGTAATTAACTTTCGGGCATCTAAATTTAAATGCATGACAATTGGAGCACAACAGTTATATGAAAATAGGTGTCGCTTTTCTTATTCATACCGGTCTGTAACACAGAGAGGTTTCATATGCATTGCTTTATAATTTCATTTCGGAGTATGCTACTAGAAAAGTTAAATAAAATCAGCAGAGGGTGGAACCGAATGAAATACATCAGCCTCTGGATTATGTTGATGATGCTAATGGGCGAAGGCATAAACAGTATAAAGGAAACACCGGAAATTTATAATAAGACGGTAGGGAAACTGGCCTGGAAACACGAGCAGAGATAAATAAACATGTGTTCATGTCTCATCGCAAGAATGAGAAAAATATTATACGAACCCCATAACTAATTCTACAAAACAATAGTATATATTCAAATATTTGGAAAGGACGGTAACAAATCGAATTAAAATTATGACGAAATTAGAAACAGTTTAACTTTAAGAATGCTAACTAAAATCCAGTTCAGAATAATTTGTCTTTCCGAATCATACAGAAATAACACAAACTTATAAACGTATATATTCTACTTCTTGTTTTGAATGGATATGGGACCAATTTTTGTCCCAAAGAAAGAACACAGATTTGAGATCAATGGAAATAAAATGCCAAAGGGTATATTTGGACCTAAGAGACAGGAAGTGACAGGAAACTGGAAAAATAACTGAACTCCTCGTTGGAGATTATTAGGGTAACTAAATCACAGAGGCTGAGATGGATACGAAACGTATCCCACATCTGAGATATGAAAGAATGACAAATATTTAGTAAGAAGAAATGAAGGAAAGAGGCCACTTGGAAGACCTGTCTGCAGATGGCATAATTATATTAAAATGGCTATTAAAGATATCATACTGGACTCATTTCAGTGAATGCAGTACTGAACCGTCGAGTTACATAAAACGTAATTTCTTGACCAGCTGGATGACAATAAGCTTCTCAAGAATGACTTTGTTTGGTTTTCAGAATGTTGTGTTCTTTTGTGTCTTTTACAATACCTAAATCCAAAAATCCTGTAATCCTGACTGCTTCATGCAGTTAGTCACAGTACATGAAACAGAGTAACAAATTACTGAAGACTGGAAGAACAATGGTACAAATGTTAATAACATTAAAAATTAAGTAAGAGATTACATGGTATTTCAGTGTTCATAAAATAATCGTGTCAGTTATAAACAGAATTTCGGTCTAGAAAATCGAGACTAACGGCCGTGGGGATCCATTCCGCTGACCATGTGACGCCCTCTATCCACAAAAGTTGGCTCAGTCGGTATAGTTCGCTTGCGGACTAAAAGCCACGGAGTTAAATAAATATAAACAGAATGAGTGCGGTACTGGAAGACTAAGTTTAACAGTTGTTACTTCAGTTACAACATGCTGTAATATTACAAAACTCTGCATTCTTTCCACATACTGTGTTCATGTGTCCACATGATTATTTAGAGCAAATAGATTGGTCTGTATAGTGGTGAAGCGGTGTTCTCTCTGTGAAATAGAAACTGTTTCTAAACACTGCTTCATATGGTTAATTGTGGGGAGGCCCTGTCTCATGTCATGAAAATTGTGCTTCCTTGCAAATAAAGACCAGAACCTGCACTGAGCATATTGAATTTCATTTCTTTGATTCCATTTCATTCCAGTTGGTTTTATGTGAGCTAAAACTTTTAACAGAGTATTCTAAGTATAGGAAAGAAGTTTCTTCCAGGTGAGAGAGACCATGGGTGCAAGAGAAGCGACAAACAACGCATCTGGCATCCCTGCTTTATTAAAAAAATAATAATCAAAATTTAATAGTAGTAATTACATCTACCAAATACATATACCAAAAATTAAAATATTTCTTTTCAAATGTATTTTGTATCATCAATATCCCAGGGCCATCAGTAAAATTAGTATCAAACGGTCTAAACTTAATATATGTATAATACAAACTCCGTCATAAATGCAACACTTTATTGTAGTTCTTGTCCCCTTCTTTCACAATTCATGTTTCGGCGGCAATCGGCCATCATCAGGTGTATTTTAATTCACGTAGCTGTCACACTGCACTCAATATTAACATTTATACTCCAGATTTCCAATTGTTCACTGCTCTGTCATCGATCGGCACCCGATATTCCAGAACTCCCCTTGTCGGTTTTGTCAATTATGTTTAAAATCTTTATTAATATTGACTCGTTGATTGGTTTAAAATTTTAAATTCTCAATTTAGTTTTAATACTTAAAATTTAAATTTAAATTTAAAATAAAAAATCACAGAGATACCTGCTCTATGCTTATACGTGCTGCAGCGGCTACCTCTTGCTTTCAGCACAGCTAGCATGTTATTTTGTGCAGGTTCTCTGTGTGTGTGCTACTGCTTTTCTTCAATACGGAGTTTGTATTATCCATATAGAAGTGTAGAATGTAACAAGACGCTTAAATATAATATGGTCTAAACTTAAGTTTGTAAGCAGATTTTTCTGGCTGTTCCTCCTTGGAAAAATATTCTAACATCACCCATCATTTATTCTTCCATGATTTCATTCTTTCACTCATATTCTGATATGTTCTTCAACATGAGTAACCCTGCAACACAGATATTCACAACATATTTTATTAAAAATAAATAGTATCTTATTGACAGGCACAAAGTTCTTGTTGCTGTTGCAGTAAGGCACATGTGACTAATAATAATGGAAATAATTCCTTGTTGCAGACATGACTATACTGCAGATTGAGAGTGAGAACACGCAAATGACCAATGACCTCTATCGCCTACTGAAGAAGTATTCTGGCCTCAGAAACCTCATCCGAGAACTGAAGGTAAGCTATTGACAGAACTGCAAACTTTCCTGACATCTTCATATCTTGTAATAACTTGGCTGTGACAAAACTACTTCAGAACTGGACCTCATGAGGGCCCAGTTTTCTGGTTAAAAGCTGGGATTATGAGATAATTAATATCAGTAATAAATTTCAAAGACAACAGACCAAAAATTTCAAATTTTAATTTGTTTTAGGTAGTCACACTGTGAGGCCCCCTGTAAAATTTTGTGTTAGGCATTTTTATCTCACCACCCAATCCACAGAACTCCTAAAAATCTGAAAATAAAAGATAATGCAGGAGACCTAGGCATAAATGAGAAGTAAATATTAAATTTAATCTTGAAGAAATAGGATGTGAGGCTGCGTACTAGATTTCACTGGCTAAGGGTAGAGTCTTTGGCAGTGTCTTTTTAACACAGTGAAGTATTTTTGGGATCCATTAAAGGTGTAAAACTTCTTGACTGGTTAAAGACTATCAGCTTCTCAAGGAGCGTTCTGATTCATGAAGTTACTTCCTTCCGTGTTCTACAGTTTATCCTGCAACCTTCCATCCAAAACTCTTTGGTGAACCCTGCCCTAGAATACCTACCACTATCAATCACAGTGTAATTTTTACTGTTCACAGCTGCCTTTCATCAATACACAAGTTTTCTCTAATATTATATAAGCTTAAACATTTTAATAAATCCAAAATATATGGTAAATAAATCATATCTATATTTACTACAGGTAGTCATATAGTGGAATCATCTCATCAGATGTTTACTGATGTTGCATCATGCAACATAAAACAGCACTAGTCTATATGTCCTTCAGGAAACCTAGTATATTTTTAAGTGCATGAACAATGCAGTAAATTTCTAAGAAAGACAGTGTGGTCTGTTTTCCAGACCTGCTGATCATACAGAGCAGTGTTTCCTAAAGTGGGAGCTGCCCCATACCACTTTCTATGTCAATTACAACACACCATTCAGAGACTCTCTCAAGTGTGTGTATTCTTTGTGTGTGTTAAATGAATGAATAATAAAGAAATGTTGCTTTCTTTCAGACAGAATATATGAATTCGAAGGTGTACCCCATCTTCCCACGATACACCATTCTCAAAGATATGATCAAGGATATAATGCACAACCCTGACTATATGGAGGTGTGTCACGAGGTGGACGTTTAGTCCTGCTAGAAGCTCGGTCACTTTAGGACGCATCAAGCAGCTCCAACAGCCCAAAACTTACCAGTACAACCCATACAGCACAGGTGACAGAGGAAACCATGGTGGGACAATGATACTTTAACTAATGTTTGTATTACATTGTAACAACGTTACATCATCACTATCTCATCAGTCAGGTTGCACAAATCATAAAGATATTTAGGGAGATCAATAACCCAGCACATGACTCTTAAAAATACTAATGCATAAAATACTGGTTTCACATAAAAAATCGTTAACAATTTGCAGAATTTAAGCACTGCTGTGGATACAAGCTAATTTATTTCTCTATAAATGTATTTGAAATGCATGATTGCAAAGTTTTAATATAAAATACTAAACCACATAATTATTAGTTCCCAAACTGTGTTATGGGTTGTATTATTTGCCCAACTCAATTAATTTGAATGAATCATAAATACAAAAAAAAAAATGCAGACATGCGTTTCACTTAAATGGAAATTTATGTGCGCATAAAAATACCGGCAATATAATAGACAATTTGAAATGTGTAAACCTGTAAAAGTTGATTTTCCTTAGGACTTCAACACATTTCAAATACTTCAAATTAAACTATACAATCTAAATCAAAAAGTATATTCTCAAAATCCAGTGATCTAAATGAAATGTAATGATGTAAAAGGAAAGAATTAGCAAATGAAATATGAAGAGAATGGTCTGCTGGGTTGTAATGTCATGTAGTTTGGAGACAGCCTTATGTTGCTAAATTCATATCTGCATCTGCTGGTATTTTGCTTGGCTTACTCTTCGACCCTGAAGATGGAGGTGATATGGTTCTCTGAAATGTCAAGCTGTCTCTGAACTACATAGTATTGCAATCTATAAAATCACATTCTTCATTGTCACTGCCATCAGAACCTAAAATCCATCATATACGTGCAAAATGCTACTAGATACCAAATCAAAGGAAGCTAACCAACAGTTAGCAAAGAATTTTATAACCTCAAAAATAATTAAATAAAATTAAAAACGTTCTTACTTCACTGTCATCAATCATATACTTCTGTGTCACGGTACTTGACAAAATTATTTAATTCTGACAGTAAACTTTACTTTACTTTACTTTACTTTACTTTACTGATTTTGCAAAAGAGCATGTTTGAGCATATTCAAACCAGATTTAAAAAATAGCTTAACTGTATGAGTCATAGATCTCTCTACATATCTGCTGTTATAACCAGCAAAGACTGTCCAACAGAGGCATACACAGTGTATTTAATATGTAAAAACAACCATAAAATATGTATATTGAGATTATTGTATTGAATTGTGTTTTCAAACATCTACAGTCTATGCTGCACATATCATTATATTTTGGCGTTTCCTAAAGCCAAATGATGAGCTTCAAATTGTGGACAGATACAAAATTATTACTCAATATACATATTATATCTATATTTTAAGTTACTTGCACTCTACAGTCAATAAAGACATATCAGATGTAATGTTTCTACATGATTCAAAGCCATAACTCCCCAAATATATCTCATATCAAAAAATATCAAGGATGTCCTTTTCTTTCCGTAACATGCTGAGGAGTGAAAAGCAAATGTTGGGAATACCCTTAACATTGCTATGTGTCAACTATACATCATGAAAAATATGGCATTTTTAGTTTAAATATTTGTAGATATTTCAAACATGTACATCGATTTTGACAACTCAACATAAAGAGGTCAACTTTTTAACTGAGTTGTATGGAAATTCAATTCAATACCAAAATTTTCTTCCTCTGTTGATGTTGTTGGAGTATACCTGGCTGTGCAGATTTTGGGCAGCAATGTGTTGTTACTTAAAAGCTCAGTATTTTGATTATGATTAGTGTTAGAAGCATGATATGAGAGAAGGCACTAAGGAAAGGAACTGAATGAGAACTGGAAGTACAATGTTCTAAATGTAAGTGTAATCTGGCAGAACATGCTTGTAACCTTTGAGCTATTTTCTGTGCATGCCTCTGTTGCTAAGAATATGGAAAAATAATACATAAAAGGGCTGGTAAGTTTTGAGTTGTACATGGAATCTACATGGGTCACCATAGTACCACCTACTGTCACTATCACTCCCACTGTTGTCATGCGGACCTAAAGTAATCGTGCTGGAATAAGGCTGTATTGTTAACAACAACACGCTTATTACTTTATTTAAATACACAATAAAAATTACATAATATATAAGAAACCATCCAAGGTGGAATATGTCAATTGAAATCCATAGGATTAACATGTGAAAATGTAATTGGTTTGTATAGCAAAGTCACCTCTTTCAAATGCTTGAAATTAATGTCATTATTGGCACAGAATTGTCTCAATTCTCATGTTCCTTCACTAAACCATACACTTTAGAAATACCTACATAAAGCTCCTTCCCTTCAACACCTGCAATCTTGCTGACTAATGTGATGTGCCAAACTGATAACAGAAAATTTAAATGAGTTACTGTTTAACAATAGAAGATAAAACATATCACTACTGGTGTACATGCTATTGCTTTCTTCATGGGACTAGAACAACTTGACCCATTCTCACAGACTTTTGCTTTTAGACATCATTACTTATGCATTCTGTAAACTCTATCAAGCAGCAACAGTGCCTGGAATAGTGCTAGGCAAGTCAAGTAATGGTGAACATAGGCGTTCATTATGCGAAAACACAAAACAAAACTGATGACCATTTAGATTTCATTTACAAAGAGAGAGTTTGTGTGTATGTAAGGGAGAAAGAGAGAGAGAGGTGTTGCTTACAAATTAAATACACACCACAAAACAAACTCGATGGCCTGTAGTCCACAAGCGAACTATACCGACCAAGTGACCGCTGCTTGTCGACGAAGTTAGTGTAAACTTTTGCGGATAGAGGGTGTCACGTGGTCAGCACAACGGATCCCCACAGCCGTTAATCTCGGTTTTCTAGACTGGAAATACATACCACATGCACTGAAATTTACCTACACAATAGGCATACAGAATCTCATCATTAAAATTGTCGTAATGAAATAATCTTTAAAGGCAGAATCAATTCACTACATGAACAACATCAATGACAACTTATTACCATTTTGAATGCTGTGTTAAAACAAGAAATTTTGGCAGATTGCTTGTGTATGGTTCAAAATAACATAATTATTTCAACTTCGGTGCAGTAAATATTTGTACTAATAATTTCATATAATTTCAAATTTAATCATTAGACATTAATTAAGGAATATGAAAATATGATGACAGTTCGCCCTCAGTGAGTGAAATTCAGTACAAACCAATTATTTGTTTAATAGCTATGTTTTATAAATTGTGAATTGTTTTGCATGGTCCAAATAAAACCCCATTTATAAACTGCTTTATAATGAAGGTAAATCAGGATGCCTTGCAATGAAGTATGTACCATAAGTTCTTTAAATAAAGTTGGTGGCTGAAGTTCCATTGTTTGAAGGTTCTGTAAAAATGGAAAGAAATATCCATACTTACTGGAATGGTGGGTGAGCCATATTTCAAAGAAAAGATCAGGAAATATATCCATTATCTAATCATTAGTTATCATCACCATCATCATAACTTGCTACTAATGCTACTACTGCTCCTGCTAATATCAGAATTCAATACTGCACACTGACTTTTAAGCCAGCAGTTCCATCTGCTTTGTTAACAAGGATGGAAATGCTTTATTTGCAACTTACCACACAACATATAACACTGTTTATACACATAAATAACCTTTATCTGTACCACATTAAAAATGTTAGAATAAAAACTACAATCTTAACAATATCTACATATTCCTCTGTGGAAAAATTTGTACTGTGGGTCATTTTTAGAGAAAAATGATGAAGTTACAAATTTGAGCTTAAAGAATACTTGAGTATTGAGTATAGAGGGGGTGGGTTTCCCCATGCACTTAGACCAGTTATTGGTCCATTGTGCGTCCCCATTTTTAATTTCTACTGTCTCCATACCCTACCGGTACTATTAGCCCCTTTCTGCCAGCAAGGTTCCAACCTTCTACTGGCAGTGGTATCTAATAGTTAGTCCCTTTCTGTCAGAGAGGTCCCCCCTTCCTCTGGCAGTGGTACCTTATACTTCCCTATCTACCGGAGGCATTGGAAACTACTTTGGGCTGGAAACTTTTTGCCAAATTTAGCTCAGAGGTCTCCTAGAGACATGAGGTTCTTTTACATGCCGTAAATCTACGACACGGGACCCACGGCTTAAAGTCCCTCCCAGAGGACTTATTCCTTGAATTTTTTCCGCCCTTAAAAATTCCATGACCTCTGCCGGGTTTGAACCCGCGTACCTTGAGTCATGAGGTGGGAACGTTACCCCTAGACTATGGAGGCCGCTTTAAAGAATACTTTGTTATCTAACAAGGGAAAATACTAAATTTTCTAAAATATTTAAAATCAAACACCCCTCTAACAGATTCAATCAAAATTCACTGAATAATTTCAGGGATATAACATGTGGGTGAATGGATAAATGGATGAACATTATCTTTCTATTTTGTGTCCACTTTATGCAGCGTGTGCAAATGATATATAAAACATTCTCTTCTCAATTACTCTATATTTTTCTGCAAGGTTTCCTTTTAATAAAAAAATAGAATAAATTTAATATTTTTAAATATATATGAATTCAGCAATAACAATAACATATAATTTCTATTTTAAATTATTTTTGAAAATACAGTCCACTCTCATGAAAGCTGGCAAATTGACCACTGGCATTCAAAAATGCTTAGCTTTCACCTCCTTCAATATATTTCTGTTATTAATAGTACTCAAGCAGTAACACCGAATTCAAGTATCAGCATGAACGTATTTTATTCAGTGACTTAAAAGTTAGTACCTCTGAATGTACTTGGTACCCTGACAAATGTAATTAAAACATCAAAAGCATTTAAATAACTTACAAACTTGAAATGTCAGAGTAACCTATTTTTGCAAAAATTAAAGGATTATAATGTTATAGACATTAAAATTGTGTTTCATTAATTAACAAATATAATCATCATGAAAACCATTATGCCTTATCACTTTGATATTTGGTTCTCACAAACAAGAAGCATATCTTAAATTACGAAAAATAGATCTTGAGAGACAATGTATTGAGGTCAAGCACCCCTTATACTTGTACATTCATTCATGTATTGAGGTCTGCATCCACATCATCACGATTTTCTACTCATTC